CACCACGCCTGGCAAAAATAATAAATATATGTTTATTTTTTTTTTTTAATGTGTATGCATGTATTGCCTGCCCCTTAATGACTCCTGAGGCCTAGAAACTTGGCTTTAATGCTTAGGTTTGGTGACTGGACCAGGTGCAGAGCTGTGGTTAGACAAAGGGTGCAGTGTACTCCAGTGGCGATAGATGGGGTGACAGCAATTGGGAGATTTTGCGGGTTCTCTGGGCCTTCTGGGAATTTGGTCTTCAAGCCACAGGGACAGAGTGACTTGAGGTTTTGTGGCCTGCTTTGGGGAGAGGTAGTATAGTTTGTGTGAGTGGTCTTAGTGGAACGTGCTGTCATTTCTCTGAGGCAGAAGAGGGCCAGGGCCTCGGTTTTCCAGGTCATGTAGTTCTCATGAGCTCCCTCTGTCCAGTATATCAAAGCACCTACTTTGGGTATGGTGTTCTAAGCTCCAGTTGTCCCCCACTGCACAGTTCTGGGGAGTCTAGTCACACTTGGCCTGTTTTCCCCACAGAACACATGTCAGAGACAAGACCCATGGCCAGGGGCCTCTTCATCGAGACACTGCTGCAGGAGCAGCTCCTTCTGCCTCCAGTGGCCCCTGGGGCTCCAGGAATGACAGAGCCTGTGGGAGAAGAGGACCTCAGTCCCATGGAAGACTTGGACCTCATGGAGTGCCTGGAGGGCAGGTAGGGCCTGCTGGCCAGTGCCCTCCTCCAGGTGTGAGTTCAGAGTGCTGTATGGACTGGGGACCTCCTGCAGGTGGTCTCCCCTAGCAGGGCTCCAGACAGTGTGTTCCCTGGTAAACAGCTGCATCCTGCACCCCATTCAGCTCTGGGGGTTCCTATGCTCTGATATAGTATAAAGAGGGGCTCCCTCCCCAGCATCTAGAAGAAAGACCACAGGCCCTGGTCTCAGCCACAACTGCTTCAGCATTTGGCCTTAGGGATGTGGACAGGATGTCAGCAACCAGCTCAAGGCCTCTCCCTGTGGATACATTCAGCTCTAGATTATAAGGGCATGCTGGGAGCCATGAAGCTCTTGACCGTGGCTGTTAGGACAGCAATCTGTCGAGGAAATCACTGAGTCAGGAGGAAGGGGCCAGATGGGATGTGCTAGGGATTAAGGGTCTCAGGATCAGCACACCACAGCCTGAACCTGGGACATCTTGGCTCACCAGCAGGGGGCATGTGTTGTCCCCTCCCTGACAGGGATGGTGAGGTCCAGTGGCTGCAAAGGCTCTGAGACTCACCACCAACTCCCAGCAGGAAGAGAAGAGCCGCCCTGACCAGGTGGGGTCCTTCTATCCACAGGCTGGTCAGTGCAGGAGCTCCTCGACCTTCTGCTTTAAGTCTTCTTAGTCACTGGCGAAGGGAACGGCTGTTTGGACGGCTGCCTCCTCCTCACTTCCAGCTGCATTCCTGGGTGAGGGGAGGGAGCATTAAGCCTCGGATAGTGTTTTCCTGTGATCTCCCAGAGTACAGGTGGGACCATGATGTCCCCACCCCCCAAACTGGTTGCCAAGCAACCTCCCAGGCCCCTCCAACACCCATCACCACCAGAATCAGGAGCATAGATAGGCCTGGGGGGCAGGGCTGGGCAAGGCAGGGCAGGTGACCCCTGAGAGCACCCCTGTGGGGAATTTCCAGTGAACTGCTGAGTAAGTGGGGTGGAATGTGTGGGCAAAACCCGGAGGGCTGAGCCAGGCAGGGCTAATGGGGTGGACAGGGTTTCAGTGTGTGTGTATGTGCATGTGCATGCATACATCCACCACACAGCAAGTGTGTGTGCCCCATTTCATCAGGAATTTGGTTTTGCAACTGGGGCTGGGCAGATCCTGTTAGCCCCTCTCCATCCTGGTGGGTGCAGACATGGGGGTTTCAGGACGGGGAACTGGGGACAGGTCTTGGAACAAGAAGATAAGCAGAGATTCCTGGGGGAGGCAAACTGATAGGGTGCAGAGCACCCCCATCTGCTCCTCCCAACTCATCTGCTGTTACCATCAAAGCCCACAGGTAGGCCCCTCCTAAGAGTCTCTAGGGAAACTTGAGGCACTTAACTTTTTCTGGGGTGCAGCTGTCTGTGGGTACCAGGCAGGCTCATTAGCTGCTCTTGGCACTAATGTGCATCTGTCCTCCACTAGAGGCAGGCCCAGGGTCCAGCAGGTCGCCCTCTGCCTGATATCTCAGTAGCCTGTGGCCTGCCCTGCAGGGGAATGTTCCAAATGGCCTTCACTTCAAAATATGTCTGTGGACAAGAGGGATACAGGAAGCTTGCTGACTTCTCAGAGTCCCCGCCCTTCCCTCTCTCACCTGGCCCAGCCCTGTAGGACCCTAGGCTGGGTAGGTGGTAAGGACTCTGAAGCATAACCTCACCCAACTTTCCTGTGCCTTCCCGAAGTAACCAGGTGGCCCTGCGGCTGGCCTGCATTGGAGATGAGATGGATCTGCACCTTCGGAGCCCCCATCTGACCCAGCTGCCCGGGATTGCCATGCACAGGTAACAGCCCGCACCCTGTCCAGGTGTACAGGTGGAGGCCAGAACCCAGCACAGGGCCGGGCCCCAAGGGAGTCCTGTAAATCCTGGAAGAAAACAGTGAAAACTACCTGGCAGGTTGAAACCCCCTGCTTCTCAGCCGCCACCTGGGAGCCATGGCTCTCCCTCAGACCTTGGAAACAAACTAAGCACAGCCCAGGGTCTTTCTATTGCCTCTTACCAAGCATGGGCAGCCCAGGCCCCCAAAGGCAGCCTCTCAGCTGGTCTTTGACAAGGTGCAGGTGCAGTGACTTGCTCAAGGACCTACAGACTAGGGGTGGAAGAGGCCCAGCTGGCAAGTGGGAAGTAAACAGGCAATCAGAATGACTTGATGGAGGTGCCCAGGGGAGGGAGCACACTGCCGTCTTCACCTTGCTGTTATGGGTCACCACGTGCAGGTGGCCTGTGCCTGCTGCTGCAGGAACTGTCTTGCCCTCCCATGTCTTACAGCCTGGCTGTCACCTACAGACAAACAGGCATTAGGGGTGTCCTCAGAAGCTTGACCCACAGCCTCTGCAGCCTTGGAGAGAGCATATGGTCCTGGAGATTCCTGACTCCTGTCATCTGGGTAAGAGCCTTGAGGCTTCCATTCCACTTGCTGTCCTGCCGTTGGGCGGCCTGCAGGTTCTCAGCCAGGCTGTCTGGTTTGCAGTAGTCCCCGTCTGTCCCTATAGCTTCTTCCTCACCTTCCCACTTTTGCCCTATCCCAGGAGACTTTGGGTTGTAGCTCTTTGATTGACTGGTGAACTCAGGGAAGTTCGAGTATATACTCTACAGTACTGCCTGCCATCCAGGCCCTCCTGCCAGGGAGGCTCCCTCGGGAAGACAGGACCTTTTCTTGGCCACGGCCTCAGGGCCACCTCCTCTGCTGTCCCCCACTGGCAGCACCCTTCACTCCCCTTGTCCCAGACTCCTTAGTTGTACACTTGGTCTGAGACCCCAGGCCATCATGACCCTCACCCTCCCCTCTTGGTCCCACAGGTGTCACCTGACCAGGCCTGCAGGCAGCTGCTGCCCTTGGTCTTGCTGGTCCTGCTGCTGGGCGGGGCCCTGCACCTGCTGCCTCAGTGAGGCCCAGCTGGGGCGGGGCTGGCCCCTGCCTCTCGACCACCGCCCCGGAGGTGCCGGCACCAGTCCGCTTTGTTCTTTTTAACTGGTGTTTTCTGATGATCCCGTTTTTATATTTAAACTTGAGATAGTGCTGGGACACTACTGAGGTTTCATACTGGAGTTTTCTGTTTGTGTAATGAATTCCTTCTACCTCTGGGGTGTTACCAGCTGAACACCCCTGAGGCCTGGCTGGCCCCTCTCGTGACCCATGGCTTCCTCTCTGCGGGCAGGTCCTGTGGCCTCCAGCAGGGGGAGTGCTGGCCACACCCCTGTTTGGGAAGCCCTGAGGCAAAGAATCTACTGGACTAGATTTCCGCAGGGCAGAGTTCAATAAAATGTTGGTTTCCAGCCAGTCTAGTCTTGGGTGCTCTGGGGGTCTGTGGTAACAATGGAGGCTCCTTGCTGTGGAGGCAGATGGTGGAAGGTACCCTCTGCCCCTCTGTCCTGGCACCTCCTCCCTATACTCAAGGACCAGAGTGCTGTTTTGTCCCTTCCTGTCCTGCCCCAGTGCCTTCAGTCCTAATGGGGAACTCTGCATCCACCTCCTGCTGGAGAGGTGTAGCCCACATGAAAGGCTTTGGTGTTGGAGGTTGCTGGGCAAGGACACCAGGAGACCAGACCCCTCACCATTCAGCTCAGAACCTGTCCAGGCCCTGGCCCAGTGTGTTTGTAGGCTCTGCCAGGACTCCCATCAGAAGCAACACCCCAGCCCCCAGCAGCTTATGACCTTGGGGCCATGTCCCTTGCCCTCCTTCCCCCCTAAACGGCCTCATTATGTAGGCCTTATGTCCTGAACCACCAGGTCAGGGTGAGGTGCTTTTCTCAGTCCCTTGGATGCCTGGGCTCCCCTTGTTTTTATCTGGCAGCCCTAGACCCTGCCTAGGACGGGACCATCAAGGAAAGGCCTTCCTGAGAAGAGCCAGTTCTGGAGACTGAGGCCTAACAGACCAAGCGACAGGATACAGGCTGGCAGGACCTCAGTATGGGATGGCCTGTGGCCAGAGCTGGTCTTCCTCCCTACGACAGGGAGGAAGTCCTTTGGCTGACTCCCTCCAGGAGAGCTGGGGAGATGGTGGCAGCAGGCATGAGCTCTTCCCTGAAGGAGGCAGACAAGAGTAGGGAAGGGGTCTAGCCCAGGCAAAGATGACATGCTACTTCAGGCCAGTGTCCCACCCATGTGTCCCACAGACCATCAAGCCTCCTACTCTTGAGGCCACAGGCTTCTGGCCCTCTTCAGCAATGTGACTGCACCTCTCAGGCTGGAATCTCACTCTGTTGGACTTCAGGCAGTGGGAAACTGAGGCTATCCCCAGACAGCGTGGCTCCCTTTGCAGGGTGAGGCTCAGAGCCAACTTGTCTGGGCTCCTCCCGAAGGACATGGGTCTCCAAATTGGCACCAGGCCAGCAGGTGCCACGTTCCTCGCCCTCACAGCTGTCCACTGCCTCACGGGGTCCCCATGAATATTTAGATCAAAGGCCCTGTGCTTTGGGTACAGCTCTTGCCATAAAAGAAAACATCAGAGCCCAAGGTCACACTACCACCCCAAGCTGCCTTACCAGATAAGCAGTCTCCTCCAGTGAGACCAGCCCCTCAACAGCAACCCTAGAATTGTTCCCCAACACTCAGTCCCCTCCCTCAGAAAAAGGGCAGGGGATACATTTGGGCACAGCAACCTGAGGGATCCTAGAGAAACTTCACAGGTCCAGTACACCCAGGGGCTCTGCCAGGTGGCTGGCAGATTGCCTTGAGGTGTTTGGGGGAGGGGTAACTTTCCTGAGGAGGTGACAGGCTGAGGGAGCATCTGGGGCCATCCTGTGACTGCACTGTGTGGGACTGCCACCACTCTCTGTGTGGTGTCTTCTAGAATGTCTAGGTTTGTGACTTAAGACAGCAGACTTCATGCTGGAGCATCACTGAGGCTTGGTATACAGCGGCAAACTGCTTCTTAGAAGGAAGTGCAGGTTGGCTCCCACTGGGCAGGGGAGTGGCACCTGACCAAGGCTGACAGACAGACAGAGGTGCTCTGGGCATGGGAACCCAGACGGGCCATGCTAGCCACCTCTGCTCCAAGCAGAAATCCTGAATTTTCCAGCATTGTATTTATTTATAGACAAGGTCTACACTGCCTATGGTCTCGGACTCATGAGCTAAAGCAATCCTCCTGCCTCAGCTGGGACTAAAGACAAGTCTTTTTAAAGAACTGCTATACTCCAGTGTTCACTTAGGCCACGAAAACTGCATTTGTGTTGAAATCTGCAATGATTCTCGGCCAGGGCTTGTGAGAACACTGTGAGGCACATGGAGGTCAATGTCTGCCAAGTCCCTGGCATGTAGTGGCCAGTAGCAAAGGCAGCTGCTACACAAGGACCAGTTCTGCCCAGATGCTGACAGCCCTGCTGAGAAGCCCTGTGAAGTAATTCGAAAAGAACCCCGTCCAGACTCAGCACAGGCCTACCCAACAGTGACACCCTAAGAAATCCACAGCCTCACTTCCAAGGCTTCCCCACGGTCACTAAAGATGAGAAAGCCAACCACACAGCTTAGAAGAGTCACATTTAATGGGCATCCCTCCAGGAGCCTTGCTCTGCCCCTGCTCTGGAGGGGGCTGCTCTCTGAGGGAGGCCTTGGCTGCACCTGGCCAGAGACTGCAGTGACCACTGTCCTGTGGATGACTTGGTGGGGGTGAGGGAAGAGGTTCTTTCACAGGGAGCTGCGGCTAGCCCAGAGGGTCAAGGTATCTGGCTACCCTCCCTGTCCAGGCACAGCCCACACCTTATACATTCTCCAAGTCTCTTGGAGAAGAGAAGGGAAGAGACTGCCCGCTCTGGGGCATACAGTAGGCACTTAATGTGTACTTCCTGGAGTCAACCGCCTATTGAGTGAGGGGAGGACAGAGTGGCTGCCAAGGTCTGCTGGGTTCAGATCCAAGGCCAGAGGAGCTAAGATCCTGGCCTTGGGTGGCTGGCATGCTGCAGGCAGCAGACAAAGCCTCTGACACAGTCCTGGCTTGAGGCCAGGCAGTGTCCACAGCACCCACAGGGCAGGTGCAAGTCTGCCCCAGGCCAGTCCTTGAAGAGGTAGCAGATGGCAGCTCGGCACATAACTTGAACAGGAGCTCTTTTCTCTAGCAGCCAGACATTTTGCCAGGGGAAGAAGGGGCTGGTTACAGACTGTGACCCTCAAAGGACTTCACCAACAGCCCCTGTCCATCCCTCAGGGGTCGGGGGGAAGCGAGGCAGGTGCAGGCTACTGGCTGTCCTAAAGCCCACAGACTGGGGGCCATCCCATTCAAGCCTCTCGGTGGTCACTGTGGAGACTCTGGGTCCAGGTCAGGGTTGGTGCTGGTCTGCATGACGTCCACATGGCTGTAGGACTTCCAGGCCTGCAGGTTACAGCTCTTTAATATGCTTCCCAGCTGCCGCCCCGGCCCCACTTCAAATGTGCTGGGGAACTCGGTGCCCTTCTTCCTCTGGTAGATGGAGTGCATTGTCTGCTCCCACTTCACCGGGGAGACCACCTGCTGCCCCAGCAGCTTCCGGATGTGCTGGGGATTCATGTACCTATTTCCACTAACATTGGCATGCACAGCAACCAGAGGCTTCTTGATGTTAATTGTGTCTAGAATCTGTGTCAGGGGTTCCACAGCTGGTGCCATGAGGCGGGTGTGGAAGCCACCACTCACAGGTAGCAGTTTGGTCCGTCTGAAGTGATACTTAGCAGAATTCTTTTGCAGAAACTTCAGGGCCTGAAGGGGAAGACAGGAGACTCAGGCAGGCAAACCTGGGGAGGACTGGTGCCGAGCAAAGGTTCTGGCCGGCTACAGGATCCTCGTGCTGCGCACAGCATAGGGTGCAAGGGCATGCACATCTCCACGCATCTCCGTACATCTGTGTGAGTGGTGCTGGGATGGATCCCAGGGATTTGAGCATCTAGGCAAGAACTCTACACTGACTTCATCCTCAGCCCCTGCTTCTAAGAACAGGGTCCTAGTACACAGCCCAGGCTAGCTTTGAACTCACAATCCTCCTGTCTCAGCCTCCTGAGTGTTGGGACTATAGGTGTGCACTGCCAGATCTGGCCTATAAGCCCAGGAGCTATAACCTTAATTCACTTTTCAGTTCCAGTCAAACTTGGTCGTATACACAATGTCCCTATGGGGCATTCACCTGCCCTGACTGAGAAAGTGACTGCAGTTCACCTATGCATGCTGCTAGGTAGAACTGTGGGTCTAGTTAGCCCAGGACTGAGCAGTGTGGTAGCTCAGGCCTGTCACCTCCCACCTCTGACCCTCTTCCTCAACCCTAAAATGGCATAATTTCATGTATTTCACAAAGCAGCTGGGGGTCAGGGAGCATCAGGTAAGATGCACAGAGGGGCTGGAGAGATGGCTCAGTGGTTTGGGGCACATACTTCTCAAGTTTAGTTCCTAGCGCTTATGTCAGGCAGCTCACAACCACATGTAATGCCGGCTCTGGGGGACCTGGTGCCCTCTTCTGGCCTTCCCGACACACCCACACCCACAGACACAGGCATAACTAAAAATAAATCTTTAAAAACCAAGATGCGCACCGGGAGTGGTGGCGCACGCCTTTAATCCCAGCACTTGGGAGGCAGAGGCAGGGGGATCTCTGAGTTCCAGTACAACTGGGGCTACAAGGAGACCCTGTCTCAAAAAGACAAAAAAACAAACAAAAAAAAACAAGCTGCACAGAGCATTTGGTAGAGAAGCCCAGCACCCACCTAGCACACGTGTTCGTGTTCAACTAAGAATCCTGTTACTTGGTAACCGTGACCAAGCCTGCTTCCTGCCACTCTAACCTACCAGATCAAAATTCAGAAGGAGCCCAGTGTGGTGGCACACCAGGAGCTGGAAGCCTTTGACCCTGTAACACCAACCCTTCCCACTCCGCCTGGGTTGGCTTCATGCTGGGCTCTATGTGGACAGCTGCTCAGTGACACTTCCTGTGGCACAGTCCCCAAGTGCTTCTCAGGTGGGGTTTCTGGACATTTAGTGGCTGAGCCACAGGCATTAAGGCCATGTCTCCAGGTCCAGCAGGTTCTCTGCTGGCCTCAGGCCTACACACTGACAGAAGCCGAGTTTCCCACAACACTTGTGGAAAGGGGCTCCCTGCTCAGGCCAGCCCTCACCTGAGCTTTTGGAGGTGGGACTTTTGTTTTTTGGTCTTTTTGAGACAAGGTCTTCCCATAGCCCCAGGTGGCCTGGAACTCACTATGTAGACCAGGCTGGCCTGGCACTCACAGAGATCCACCTGCCCCTGCCTTTTTTTTTTTTGTCTTTTTGAGACAGGGTCTCCCTGTAGCCCCAGCTGTCCTGGAACTCACTATGTAGACCAGGCTGGCCTTGAACTCACAGAGATCTGCCTGCCTCTGCCTCCCGAGTGCTGGGACTACAGGCATGCGCCACCATGCCCGGCGCCCCTGCCTTTTGAGTGCTGGGACTAAAGGCGTGCACCACCATGCCCTTGGGGGTGGTACTTCTAAGGCACCAAAAGAACATGCTAGGGACTCCCAGGAGGACTGGGACTGGATGTGTAACTGCGGGTGCCTGGGAAAGAGTTCTGCCTGGCCAGGCCCCTCTTGAGTCACTTCCCAAACTGCTCCTGGGAGTGAGCTCCATGCTGACAGGTCAGATCGGCCACCAGAGGGGCTGCGGCTCTCACGGACTCAGAGGAGGTATTTGAGGGCACCCAGCAAAGGTGAGTCCAGAGAGCTCGGAGGAAATGAGTGGCCCGTGAGGGAAGCACTAGAGTGAGTACAAGGAGTGTTAAATACACAGCTGTTGTTTTGAGGCAGGATCTCATGTAGCTCAGACTGGCCTTGAACTCCAGATCCTCCTGCCTCCACCTCCCAGGTGCTGGGATTACAGGTATGTGCCATGCCTCCTACTCTGCTCCTGGCCTCCAGTCACCTCTTCACACTGCTCTTCCTTTGACAAAAAGGCCTCAAATTGGTCTGTGTGCCCAGTGCTGTTACTTAGAATAGCTCAGTGACACTCAGGCAGGCAGCAAATGGGAGTGGGGACTGAGGAAGGACATTCCCGAGTGCAGAAACAGATACAGAAAGAGCAGGGCACAACAGCAGGAAACTGCTCCCTCCTCAAAGGAAGCAGCCAGATCATGGACCACAGAATGAACTGCACAAAGGCCCTGGACATGGTGAGTCTGTCTCCTTCACCTGACACACCTGACAACCAGGTTCAGTCCTGTCTGCAATGGCCTCTGTGGTACTCTGGCTCTCAACATCCTCTTCCAGACTGTGCTCAGTATGGCATCTGCTGTACCACGGGGCCTCACAGGTATGCAGTGACTCTGCTTGTTATGGTTAGTTTTAATGGACAGCTTGACACACAGGAGAAGAGTCTCAATGAGGGTTTGCTAAATAAGACTAGCTTATGGGCATGTCTGTGAGAGACTGCCTTGACTTTGCTCACTGATACGGGAAGAGGTGGCCCACCACGGGCATCTTCATTATAGTAGAGAGCGAACGGAACTCCAGCGCTCACGCATCATTCTCTGCTCCTGCCTGCAAGGAGACCAGCTGCTTCAAGGTCCTGCCTTGACTCCCCAAAATGGTGGCCTGTAGCCTGGAATTAAAGCCAAATCAACCCTTTCTCCCTTAAAGCTGCTTTTGTCAGGGCATTTCATCATGCACCAGAAACAGAAATACTGCTTCCTGCTAGACTGGGGTGGAAAGGTGGTTCCCATCAACACTAACCTCAAGGTGTCCGGAGATGACCCTACAATCAGGAAAGAGGTAGTTGGACACCTCACACACTGCATCCTCTATGCCCAAAGACTTGCAATGTTCCCGGGCTTCCATGCAGGCGAAGGAGAAGTTGGACTGCCGTTGGCCGAGGACAGACAGCATCCCACTGGGGACAGCCTCCGATGCTTCCTGCATGGCTTCAGCTCTGACCTTTACTGCATACAGCCCTAGCCAGACAGAAAAGTCAAAACACGAAATGAAGTCAGGTGAGGTGGAACATGTCTTTAATCCCAGCACCTAGAAGCAAAAGCAGGTGGATCTCTGTGAGTTCAAGGCCAGCCTGGTCTACACAATGAGTTCCAGGCCAGCTGGGGCTACAAGCAGACCCTATCTCAAAAAGCAAAAAACAAAAACAAACAAACAAACACCAAAACCACAAAATGAAGCAGGGAGGGGTAACTCGAAAGCTCCATTCTTTGAGGGAGACAGTGACAGTGGGGCTTACTGCCAGTCTGCAGGTCACAGTTCCACCCATCTGTATCTATTTCCATGTAGCACCATGGAAAAGAAGACTGGAGAGATGGCTCAGTGGGTAAGAGCACTTGCTACACAAGCATGACCTGAGTTCAGATTCTCAACACCCATATAAAAAAAAAAACTAGGCATGGCCACATTGGTGCCTGTAATCCCAGCACAGTGTGGAGGGGAAGGGCAGAGACAAGAGGAGGCCACCAGCCTCACTAGAGTTCAGTGAGTGGCCCTGTCTCAGCCGAATAAGCAGAGACATAGGTCATTAGACATCCTCTAGGCCCTGTGAGTGCATGCACATTGGTGTGCATACATGCACATCTATATACGCCATGTATACAAAGAGAGAAAGAAAAAGGAGGGAGAAAGGAAGAAGGCAGGCAGGCAGAGCAGGGTGTCCACTGTATTAATTCAAGGAGCTGGGGCTGGAGAGATGGCCCAGTGGTTAAGCACTGGCTGCTCTTGCAGACAACCCAAATACAGTTCCCAGTACCCACATGGCGGCTAACAACAGCCTAACTCCAGTTCCAGGGGATCTGATGCCCTCTTCTGGCCTTCATGGGCACTGCATGTGGTACACATGAATTAATGCAGGCACAGACAATATGCATAAATACAAAGAAAATAAGGGGCTGGAGAGATGTCTCAACAATTAAGAACCCTGGCTGCTCTTGCAGAAGAGGACCTGGGTTTGAATCCAAGCACCCACATGGTGGCTAACAATCATCCATAACTTCAGTTCCAGGGGATCTCACACCCTCTTCTGACCTCTGCAGGCACTGCACGACACAGGTGTACTTATACACATGCAGGTAATGCATGCATATGCATATACATTTAAAAAATTAAATAAATCTTCAACTCAAGGAGCTTTCCACCTGAAAGCTGGTGTACTGCTGGGCAGTGCATCTCACCTGGGTGATCCTGCCCTGGGGTACTGCTGGGCAGTGCATCTCACCTGGGTGATCCTGCCCTGGGGCAGGTTCTGGAGACACTTTTTAGTTGTCACAATTTCAGGAGACAGTGAGGTAGAGGTCAGGGCACTGCTACAAGGAACACCACAGAATGCTCAGGAAAGCCCCCCAAACAAACTGTCTGGTCTCAAACACCAACGGTGTGGTCCAGGGCGGGGCAGAGAGCAGCGGACGTAGAACCGCACTGTCTCAGGTAAGTCATAGCTCTGGGTTCAAACTTTCAGTTCATAAAACATGGATATGAACATCCACTCTGCTTAGATTGTAGAAAATGGGAGTTACTCTTTAAGAGAAATCAAACTGAAAGAAACTACAATCGAGACCACCAGACAAACGGGCTGCTGTATAAAGCACAAACAATTCACAGACTTCAATAAAACATGGCTGTCATAAACCAGGTGGTAAGCCCAGCACTGTAAGGCAGAACAGAAACGGGCTCAAGTGGATGAGGAGACAGGCTGTGCCCAGGCAGGCAGCTCTGAGACTGTGATACGAGACACCACTCCTGTCCTTCCCAGTTTCTGTTCCTGGACAGGACAGGCTGACCAGAGCACAGAGACCAAGGCACTACTCAGGGCTACAGAGGACAGAGAGGGCGGTGGGCAGGCCTGCACCTTGCTCTCTACACACCACGCACTCAACACTCGAGTATGTCTGTGTGGGACTTGTAGCCCTGGGTCCCAGGACAGTGTTGAGCACACACAGGAGAGCCTGTGACAGGAAGCAGGAGAGAGCACAGAGGAAAGTGGCAGGCACATGCAGTCATCTCCCAGGTGAGCGGCACAGCAAAGGCTGTGACAAATGTGTGATTGCTCTGGGAGCCGCTCAAACACTGCAGTTGGCATATGCACGATGCTATCCTTTGCGAGTAAAAAGCAGTGAGGCTTGAGATGGAGCTCAGTGGTGGAGCGCTTGCCTGGTGTGCTTAAGGCTCTAGGTTCAGCCCCCAGCACCACCCCTGCCCCACCTCCTCTCCCCTCCTCCACGATAGGCACTAACCTGCTCTCTTCTGAATAGATTCAGGTCATACTACTACAGTTTAACTTTCTAAGGAACAGCCAAACTGTTCTCCACAGTGGCTGCACTACTAGTCAGTCCCACCACCACGAATGGGGGTTTCTATTTTGCATGTCCTCAACACTCGGCCCATTCCACGTGGGTATAAAGTGCTAGTTCAAGTGGTGTTGACTTTCATGTTCCTGCTTACTGGCCATTTGAGTGCCATCTCTGGAGAAATGTGTATTCAAGCCTTCCCTGTACTGAACTACAAAGCAAAATCAATCCCCCTATGTCTCTCTCAGACTTAGTATGTTATCCAGGCTGGCCTTGACCTCCTGGGCTCAGGTGATCTGAGACTACAACCACAAGCTCCTATGCCCAGCTTCAGCAGAAATCTTAGGACATGAAATAATACAGCTCAAGATCAATGATGTGTGGGGTGTGCTAAAAGTGGAACTCAGGGTTGAGCATATGCTAACAAGAATAAATATGTTCATGTACTTGTTTTTCACTTAATGGGTATCTACTGAGCATTTACCTGGTGTGATAGGCATGGAATATGTCTTAAGAATGCAGAGGGCAGGCTGGAGAGACAGCTCAGTGGGTAAAGGCATCTACTGCCAAGCCTGATGACCGAGTTTGACTCCTGGGATGAACCCATGAGGTGGAAGGAGAGAAGATACTCTTGCAAGCTGTCCGCTGACCTCCATTCACTTGATGCACATGGATACAAAATAAATAAAATGTAATTTAAAAAAGAATGTAGAGGGTAGTGGGGGAAGACAGCCAAGGGATTGCAAAGCAGAAAAGAGGTCCTACTGAGCCCTTCAGATCAGAGGGTCAGAGATCCAACCCTTGTGCCCCCGCCTCCCTGCAGTAGGTCCAGTATCAACGCTGTGTGCCTATTTCCATGAGCCCAGCAAGACCACACCCTAAACAAACCAAGCTCCTCCTCACCTTCAGAAAATTCCATGGCTCCAGCAAACACCAGCGCTGCGAACTCCCCTACACTGAACCCAGCAGTAGCAACACAGTTCTCAATGACCTGTGATGACAGAGACAGAACATGTAGCTAAATCTGGGGGAGCTCAGTCCCAGGGTTCTATGCCCCGAGTTTGGCAGGGCAGGTGAGTGTCACTGTTCTTCCACTTGTACCCTTGTGGGAGGAGGTCACAAAGGTGGGCCTGACTGTTCCTGAGTCCAGTCTTTTACTGTGGACGGCCTTCCCTAATGACATGGAAGGCTAAAGCCTGGCCAACTCTAATTACACTATAACACAGAGCTCTGGATTCTCTTGCCTCTGCCTGCGGTGGCTTCTCAGGCCACATGGGATACAGAAGTACAAGGCTGGAGAGACGGCTCAGTGGTTAAGAACACTGGGTGTTCTTGCAGAAGACCCGGGTTCGAATCCCAGCACCCACATGGCAGCTAACAACTGTCCATAACTCCAGTTCCAGGGGATCCGACAGTCTCTTCTGTCCTCTGAGGGCATTGCACAACCCGGGTGCACTTACCTACACGCAGGGAATACACGCATACACATAAAATAAAAATAATAAATAAAATATGAAAAAAAATTTTTTAAAAAGAAGTACATGTACAACATGAGGTGATCGGTTGGCTCACAGCTGCAATCCCAGCACTTGGGGCAGCTGAGGCTGGAGTTCAAGACAAACATAGGCTACCCTGCATTTTACCCCTTCCATCCTCTCACCCTCTAAGAGTACAGATGCCAGAAGTGTGACTTTTGAGGCCACAGAGACTAGATTTCAGTCCCTCCTATGACATGAGAGGACAGCAGGGCATACTTCATATGGTTGCGAAAATGCCTGTGCAGTGTTATCTATAAAAGGGTCAGCAACACTTGGCCCAGGGTCAGTACTGAATGAACACTGTCCCCATGATGTAATTCCAGCAATAACCCTGAGGCTTTTTTCACCATCTTTCACAGTACTTACTCACAAGGTGGCTGTGAGGGGGAAGCACAGTCAAAGGTCTCAGCAGGGGCTAACACTGACTGTCCTAACATCATTCAATATCAACAGCAAGTGTCACATGCTCTGGTCTTCTTTTTGGTTTTTCTTTGAGACAGGGTATCACTATGTAGCTCTGACTGGCCTGGAACTTGATAGGTAGACCAGGCTGGCCTTGAACTCATAGGGATCCACCTTTGCCTCTTCAGTGCTGGGATTAAAGGGGTGTGTCACTGTACCCTGGATCTTCTCTTTAAAAGAATTTTAAGATTTTATTTATGTGTATATGTGTGCCTGTGTGTGTGTTGCGTATGTGTGTGCAGGAACGCATGGAGGCCAGAGGAGGGTGAAGGATCCCTTGGAGCTGGAGTCATAGGCAGTTGTGAGCTGCCTGATATAGGTGCTGGGAACCAAACACCTGTCATCTGTAAGAGCAGCCAGTGTTCCTAACCACTTCAGCCATCTCTCCAGCTCCTAAAGATTGTGTTTTTATCAATGTATGCATGTGTGTGTGTGGGGGTGTGTGCTAGAGAGATGGCTCAGTGGTTGAGCATTGGTGCTCTTCTGGAGAACCTGGATGTGGTTCTCACACACAGGCTAACAATTGTCCACAACTCCAGCTCCAGGAGACCATTACCCTCTGGTCTCCACAGGTACTACACAACACAGGCGCACTTATACACAAGCAGGCAAAACACTAATACAAATATGTGTGTATGTGACTGTGTATGTGCAGGTGCCAGAGGAGGCCAGGAGAGCACCAGATCCTGTGCAGCTGCAGTTACCGGAGGCTGTGAGCCCCTGACGCAGGGACTGGGCAGTAAACTCTTCTACAAGAGCAAGTGGTCTGAACTGCTGAGCCATCTCTCTAGCTGCTGATGTCGTCTCAGTATCTTTCATTAAAAGCTGGAAGTTGTCTTTAAGTCATTTTAATCTAGTAATTTGGGGCTGGAGAGATAGCTCAGCGCTTAAGAGCACTGGCTGTTTTTGCAGAGGACCCAGGTTCGGGTCCCAGCACCCACATGGAGGCTAACAACTACCGTTAAGTCTAGTTCCAGGGATCTGACACCCTCTTCCGACCTCCAAGGGCACTGCACGACACGTGTGCACTTACATACATCAGGCAATACACATATAATACACATATATAATACACTCATGCACATGAAATAAAACTAATAATCCAAGACCATTCAGAATCACAGCCCCTCACCCTGCTGTGTATCTTCCTGTGACACTCGGCTTTAACGTACAGAACGGTGCATTTAATTAGTGTGTAGCAGGAATCCTGGCTTTGGCCACTGCGCCTGGAGCACTACGTGTGAACTCGGCTGCAGCCCGCGGCCTGGCAGGCGGAGTCTGGGGCCCGGCCCTCCTCCCCGGCTCACCGCGGGCTGCAGGTGATGGAGTTTCTCCACAGCGGCCAGTGAAGCCACGAAGACGGCAGGCTGGCAGTGCACCGTGCGGTCCAGGTCCTCTTGCGGCCCGTGCAGGCAGAGTTCCAGCAGGTCGTAGCCCAGCACGTGGCGCGCAGCCTCGTAGAGCTGGCGGACGCGGGGAAAGCCAAGCAGGCCGCGGCCCATGCCGACCTCCTGGCTGCCCTGGCCAGGGAACAGCAGCACCGAGCACTGCGCCGGGGGCCGGCGGGCTGTGGCAGGCCAGGGCGCCTCCACCACTGCCGTCGTGTCCCGCAGCAGCTCAGCCACGTCCACGCCCGGCGGAGGCATCCGGAAGCTCGAGGCGCCGCGACGGCCACAGGCACCCCAAGCCCACGCGGCCCACGCGAGCCGGGCGCTCATGGCGAGACGCTTGGCCTCCGCGCGTTACCGTGGAGACTGAGGAGCGACGGCGGCTGCGCGGCTCCAGGTGGTCCTTTGCGTATTTCCTTCCGGGTACCCGGGGTCAGAAGAAACGTTCTGGAATTATTGGTTCCGCCTTAGCTCAAAGTGTTTGCCGGGGGCGCTGAGGTCCTGTAGGACTGAGTGTCCTTAAAGCTTAGGATCCAACACAGAGCACTCCACAGGGAGTGCTCAGCGGTTATTTATGGACTAAATTGCGCAATGTCACCCAGTATTTACTGTTTTTATCTGGAATGTGAAAGAGTACTTGGGACGATTCTGCCAACATTAAGCAAGCCGCTCTTTCGTTACTCACAAATCAGACTCGGTGCCCAGCTATCATAAGCCTCTGATAAATCAGACTAGCTTTTTAAATTCCTCACGGAAAGCTGTGGTGAACAGGTGCCATCGTTAGCCTCAATTTAGAACCGATGAGACAAAAGTGGCCCATGCCTTTAGTCCCAGCACTTAGGAGGCAGAGGCAGGTGGATCTCTGTGAGTTCAAGGCCAGCCTGATCTACATAGTGAGTTCCAAGCCAATTGGGGCTGCAGGGAGACCCTGTCTCAAAAAAGACCAAATGGTAGGCAAGAACAGGAAGTCAGAAGACCAGCCCAGGAAGTTTAGGTCTCTAAGTAACAGGAGTTTCCAGAAAGAGAAGTGGGAAAAAAGAGGGAAGGAAATGGTCAAAGCAGCAATCCAATTCTGAAAAGGAAACACTGGGCCTTTCGACACCAAAAGAGCCTGTTTGAGCCAGGCATGGTGGTACACACCTTCAATCCTAGCCACTGGGAGGCCAGGGAAGGAGGATCATGAGTCCCAGGCCTGCCTGGGCTACACAGCAAGTCCTAGACTAGCCTGGGCTGTATAGTAAGACGCCTTTAATCCCAGCACTCGGGAGGCAGAGGCAGGCAGATCTCTGTGAGTTCAAGGCCAGCCTGGTCTACATAGCAAGTTCCAGGACAGCTTGGGGCTACAGGGAGACCCTGTCTCAAAAAGACCACAAAAAAGTTCTAAAGATAAAAGTGAGCCTATTGAATGCTAGCCCAATGGATGAAGTTTAGACCCACATGGAAGGCTATGTCTGTAAAATTTCAAAACTCTGTGGTATAAACTTAAAGTCTCCCAGGAAGAACCATAGATTGCATCTGAAGGCTGCAGCAACAGGATGACTTCTCCAGCTCAGCAGCTGGACCACTGTCCTGTGCTGGTGCACACTGGTGTCACAGCACAGGGTGGCCCGAGACTGCTAGACCACAGCACACCTTTGTGGACTTGTTAGCTAAGCATCAGTCCACTGTGGGGAGAAGGGGAGACTGCGTAAAGTGCTCTTTCACACACTCTTTGGCAAGGGCTCTGGGAGAACCGGTTCAACCCAGACAAAACAGAACCAGTAAGAGGGAAGATGCTTTGGCTCACTTTCTGTTGCCATCACTAAACATTCCAGACTGGGTCATTTAGCAAGAGTGGAAGTTTATTGAGCTTACAGTCCTAGGGGCTGGAACGTTCAAGGTCAAGGGGCTGCATCTGGTGAAGGCCTCCCTGCTGGTGGAGACTCTCTGCAGAATCCAGGGTGGGGCAGGGTTTTACCTGGAAAGAGCCAACTGGCTTTTATAGCAGACCCACACTTGGATCTATTACTTGATTAATCATGAATGGATGGAGTCACCCAATGAGTCCTTGAGACCTAATCACCTCCTCAAAGTCTTACCTCTTGATACATCACCATGGGGATTAAACTTCGATGAGAGTTTTTCCCCCAGAGGGTATTCAAACCATGGCAAGTATGCACCCAGGACATGATGATCCATCCAGGAGAGAGACAAGGGCAGCCCAGAGGGGTACAGAGAGACCCCAGGGCAATGGGCATGTGTACCAGGCATGAACAGCCATTGCTATAGGGAATGGAAAGACTCCAGGGGTGTGTTGAGAGGTGTCACAACTAGATCTCTGCTGCTGCTGTGCTGCTGATTAAGAATAGGAGGCCTGGGGCTGGGGAGCTGGCTCAGTCGGTCAAGTACTCCTGTTGTAAGCACTAGGATCTGAGTTTGAGTCCTAGAACTTGTGTGAAAAAACTGGGTGAGGTGGTTCATGTTTATAATCCTAGGGTTGGGGTGACATGGGCTGGTAGATCCCCATCCCCAGGGCTCACTGGCCAGCCAGCCTAGCCTAATTTATAAGCCTGGGATCAATGAGAGACCCTGTCTCAAAAAACAAGGTAAGAAGGGCTGGAGTGATGGCTCAGAGGTTAAGAGCACTGGCTGCTCTTGCAGAGGACCCAGGTTCAATTTCCAACAACTACATGGTGGCTAACAACCATCTGTAACTCCAGTTCTAGGGATTCCAGTGCCCTCTTCTGACCTCTATAGGCAATGCATGACGTGAGTGCACTTACACACATGCAGACAATACACTCATACACATAAAATAAAAAATAATAAGCTGGGCATAGTGGCACACACCTTTAATCCCAGCACTCAGGAGGCACAGGCAGGCAGATCTTGTGAGTTCGAGACCAGCCTGGTCTACATAGTAAGTTCTGGGGCTATAAAGAGACCCTGTCTCAAAAAGATAAAAAAATTAAAAAATAATAAATAATGGCCGGGTGTGGTGGTACACGCCTTTAATCCCCACACTTGGGAGGCAGAGGCAGGCAGATCTCTGTGAATTCAAGGCCAGTCTGGTCTACATAGTGAGTTCCAGGACAGCTGGGGCTACAGGGAGACCCTGTCTTAAAAAGACCCCCCCCAAAATATTTTGAAGAGAAAGTCTTGGATTGGTGAGATAGCTTATTAGGTATGGATGCTTGCTACCACACTTGGCAACCCAAGTTCAATCCTTGGAACCCACAGGTGGAAGGAGAGAACTGACTTCCATAAGTTGTTCTCTGACCTCCACTTGTGCAGTGGCACGCACACAAATGCACACACACACACACACACACACACACACACATAAGTAAATGTAACAAAAATAAAGGAGGAGGGCTGGAGAGATGGCTCAGCCATTAAGAGCACTGGCTGCTCTTGCAGAGGACCCAGGTTTGATTCCCAGCAACTACATGGTGGCTAACAACCATCCATAATGCCAGTTTCAGGGCATCCAAAGCCTGTGGGCATTGCACGACATGGGTGCACTTACATACATTCAGGCAATACACTCATACGTTCATACTGTTACTAGGAGAAAATACTCCACACTGGAGTTGTTGGGACTAGGAAAGACTTTCAAATAAGCAATTAAAGAGTCCCTCACTACGTGGCTTATGAGGTTATGGGGGGACATGGGAGCAAATAACATCAGTTTAAGTCCTACAGAAGCATCATAGCTGAGTTATATAACAACCCATCTGTGCTTGAGACACAGGCTGTTCAACCTAGGCCAATACAGGGGGAACAGTCCCTAATGGAATGGCTTGTGCAAGGCATTAAAGATATATGGTCATCACCAATGGAGACCCCCCCCCATGATTAGCAGGGGCTGGAGGACTATAAAAGAGGGACAGGCGTTACTGAGAGAACTAGGTATGAGAAAAGCAATATATGATGCTCAGTTCACTGGGCCAGATAAGGCTGTGTTCACCAGAGATACAAAGGAAAGCTTAATTCAACTGGGACCTAGAAAATGGTATGAAGCTTCAGTGATTTTGCTAAGTCCCTTAATGGGACAGAATCTCTGTAAAGTGAGGGAGGCTTTGGCAGATCTAAGTGACTCTGACCAGTGTGTAAAACATGTCTACAGAATAACAGAACAACCTATAAGAGATGTAAAAAGACAAGGCAGAAAAGAGGTCCATTTGGGTCACTTGAAGAAAACTGTGGTAAGATTTATGTTGAGCCCAGGTTCCTAAGGAAAAATTGATAGAAAACCAAATTTGGTACTGAGGAGTTTCTAGAAGGCTTTAAAACCCGAAGAACAGTTCACAAAAGACAGTCAGAGGATAAAATCTGTCCCGGGGTGGTTAAGGATCCACAAAGATTAAACAAGCTACATTTCTTTCCTGAGAAAGGCTATGCTAGGGGTGGAGGCAGTTTTTCCCACCAGGGCCTCCCCCCAGCAGCCAGTTATGGTCAATGAAGAGATGACAGATACGGCTACAGCCGGGAGGCAGACCCAGGGCCTGTCTGACTCAGGGAACCAACAGGTGCAGCAGGGACAAGAGGGACCCTCTGCCTCCTTAGCCTGGTGCAGGGTCAGGCAACTTGAGCCAGTACCCATGAGTGTATCAAGGATAAAAAGATACAAAGAGGCTCCATGTAAGATCCTCAAAATGTGGAATGACTCCAAAGGGATAACTAAAGATAGTAAAGAACTAACCAAGTTAATGCCTCTTACCCATGCCATGGTACCCAGCAGAGATCTATGGAGAAAGCAATACAGATGGATAAAACCTTTCAATGCTATGTTAGACCTTGCCTATAATTGATTTAATATATGCTATTAATCTTTGAGTGTTTTACAGATGTGAAACCCATTTGAAAGGTATCAAGTCCACCTGAAGAAAAAAAGGCCAGCTATAGCTATAAGATTGTTGGGAGCTTTATGGTTGGGAAAGACACCAGTAATACCAGAAGGATTGGGAAAAGCCTACAACACCTAATCCTATATGAAAATAAAAACAGAGGCTCCCAAAGCTGTACAACTGTTAAGAAAAACTTACACTACCAGGGGTGAGTTGTCCCCTTATGAGCTGTTGGCCACAGAGATCCTAGAGGTCCTCAAATTAACCAAGGTATTGCCACTAATATCGGTTATACACTAGAAAAGGTCGGTAAGGCCATGTTGCTGAAGACACTACGTGATGTGAGCACAGGAGGAGAGACGGAGCCGAGACTAAGCTGAAAACTCCATGTCACTAGATGGATGGCTTTCATATTGCCAGAAGGTGCTATGAAGATAGTTGGGGAAAAAGGATCCCCTATGATTCTGCTCAATGATGGATCCTGTGTGTTGCACACTACTGACATGCCAAACTACACCTGCCCTGCTGGTACAATATTGGCTGAACTAACATGTACAACT